ACTGATCTAACTAAAACATCTGAACATGCAACAACTACATTTGAAAGTTCTACTTCAATTAATATGCCTACAGGTACTTTCTCAACAGGTAAATAGGTCTTTTCATGTAGTATTACCTTTAAGGAATCAACACGGTTCACATAATAACAACAATCTGCACATTACATGGTACCAAGTTCTCAATTCAAGGTATATCAAAGGGAGTGCCTTATAACTATAATTCTTTTCCATGTCAATCTGAATTCACTAATTGTTCTCTGCATTCAGTTTCCATATTCTTATGTACTTTACTTTACCCTGGTGCTTTATAGCCTAAATCTTTTTCAAATGTCTTCGCAATTGAACAATTCTTTTCATTTTTCCAGAACATCATGTTAGAAAAAACGCTTTTTCCTACCTGACTTTGAGTACATTGTCACATGCACATTTAAGATAATCTTTATGCAATTCAACTAGATGCACCTTAGTATTATTAGTAAATACAACTTCCATTAGGGGAATCATTTTACAATGCATTGATTCAACTCATCATACTTGTAGGATTTATAACAGAAACAACAACATCTGATGTTGTGTCATCAACATTACCACCAATTTCCACCCAAGAAACATTTGAAACAACAGCTCAAACTGAATCTACTCAGAACATTATTACAACAGAAGAAACGGCCACTGAAGAACTGATTATACCTTGGTTTCTGGGACTGATCTACTAAAACATCTGAACGTGCAACAACTACATTTGAAAGTCTACTTCAACTGATTTGCCTAAAGGTACTTCTCAACAGGTAAATTGGTCTTTTCATGTGGTAGTTTCTTTAAGGAATCAACACGTTTCATATAATAACAACAATCTGCACATTACATGGTACCAAGTACACAATTCAAGGTATATCGAAGGGAGTGCCTTGTAACTATAATTCTTTTCCATATCTATCTGAATTCACTAATTGTTTTCTGCATTCAGTTCACATATTCTTATGTACTTTACTTTACCCTGGTGCTTTATAGCCTAAAAATTTTTCAAATGTCTTCGCATTTGGACAATTCTTTGAATTTTTCCAGAACATCATGTTAAAAAAAACGCTTTTTCCCACCTGACTTTGAGTACATTGTCACATGCACATTGAAGATGCACCTTATTATTATTAGTAAATACAACTTCCATTTGGGGAATCATTTTACAATGCATTGATTCAACTCATCATACTTGTAGGATTTATAACAGAAACAACAACTTCTGATGTTGTGTCATCAACATTACCACCAATTTCCACCCGAGAAACATTTGAAACAACAGCTCAAACTGAATCTACTCAGAACATTATTACAACAGAAGAAACGGCCACTGAAGAAACTGATTATACCTTGGTTTCTGGTACTGATCTAACTAAAACATCTGAACGTGCAACAACTACATTTGAAAGTTCTACTTCAACTGATTTGCCTACAGGTACTTTCTCAACGGGTAAATAGGTCTTTTCATGTAGTAGTTCCTTTAAGGTATCAACACGTTTCACATAACAACAACAATCTGCACATTACATGGTACCAAGTTCTAAATTCAAGGTATATCAAAGGGAGTGCCTTGTAACTATAATTCTTTTCCATATCTATCTGAATTCACTAATTGTTTTCTGCATTCAGTTCACATATTCTTATGTACTTTATTTTACCCTGGTGCTTTATAGCCTAAATCTTTTTCAAATGTCTTCGCAATTGGACAATTCGTTTCATTTTTCCAGAACATCATGTTAGAAAAAACGCTTTTTCCCACCTGACTTTGAGTACATTGTCACATGCACATTGAAGATGCACCTTAGTATTATTAGTAAATATAACTTCCATTTGGGGAATCATTTTACAATGCATTGATTCAACTCATCATACTTGTATGATTTATAACAGAAACAACAACTTCTGATGTTGTGTCATCAACATTACCACCAATTTCCACCCGAGAAACATTTGAAACAACAGCTCAAACTGAATCTACTCAGAACATTATTATAACAGAAGAAACGGCCACTGAAGAAACTGATTATACCTTGGTTTCTGGTACTGATCTAACTAAAACATCTGAACATGCAACAACTACATTTGAAAGTTCTACTTCAACTGATATGCCTACAGGTACTTTCTCAACAGGTAAATAGGTCTTTTCATGTAGTATTACCTTTAAGGAATCAACACGGTTCACATAATAACAACAATCTGCAGATTACATGGTACCAAGTTCTCAATTCAAGGTATATCAAAGGGAGTGCCTTGTAACTATAATTCTTTTCCATATCTATCTGAATTCACTAATTGTTCTCTGCATTCAGTTCACATATTCTTATGTACTTTACTTTACCCTGGTGCTTTATAGCCTAAATCTTTTTCAAATGTCTTCGCATTTGGACAATTCTTTTCATTTTTTCAGGACATCATGTTAGAAAAAACGCTTTTTCCCACCTGACTTTGAGTACATTGTCACTTGCACATTTAAGATGATCTTTATGCAATTCAACTAGATGCACCTTAGTATTATTAGTAAACACAACTTCCATTTGCGGAATCATTTTACAATGCATTGATTCAACTCATCATACTTGTAGGATTTATAACAGAAACAACAACTTCTGATGTTGTGTCATCAACATTACCACCAATTTCAACCCAAGAAACATTTGAAACAACAGCTCAAACTGAATCTACTCAGAACATTATTACAACAGAAGAAACGGCCATTGAAGGAACTGAGTTTACCTTGGTTTCTGGGACTGATCGAACTAAAACATCTGAACATGCAACAACTACATTTGAAAGTTCTGCTTCAACTGATATGCCTACAGGTACTTTCTCAACAGGTAAATAGGTCTTTTCATGTAGTATTACCTTTAAGGAATCAACACGGTTCACATAATAACAACAATCTGCAGATTACATGGTACCAAGTTCTCAATTCAAGGTATATCAAAGGGAGTGCCTTGTAACTATAATTCTTTTCCATATCTATCTGAATTCACTAATTGTTCTCTGCATTCAGTTCACATATTCTTATGTACTTTACTTTACCCTGGTGCTTTATAGCCTAAATCTTTTTCAAATGTCTTCGCATTTGGACAATTCTTTTCATTTTTTCAGGAACATCATGTTAGAAAAAACGCTTTTTCCCACCTGACTTTGAGTACATTGTCACATGCACATTTAAGATAATCTTGACGCATTTCAACTAGATGCACCTTATTAATATTAGTAAATACATCTTCTATTTGGAGAATCATTTTACAATGCATTGATTCAACTCATCATACTTGTAGGATTTATAACAGAAACAAGAACATCTGATGTTGTGTCATCAACATTACCACCAATTTCTACCCAAGAAACATTTGAAACAACAGCTCAAACTAAATCTACTCAGAACATTATTACAACAGAAGAAACGGCCACTGAAGGAACTGGTTATACCTTGGTTTCTGGGACTGATCTAACTAAAACATCTGAACATGCAACAACTACATTTGAAGGTTCTACTTCAACTGATTTGCCTACAGGTACTTTCTCGACAGGTAAATAGGTCTTCTCATGTGGTAGTTTCTTTGGTTTGAACATGTTTTACATAATAACAACATACTGGACATTACATGGTACCAAGTTCTCAATTCATGTTAGAAAAAACGCTTTTTCCCACCTGACTTTGAGTACATTGTCACATGCACATTCAAGATAATCTTTACGCATTTCAACTAGATGCATCTTATTAATATTAGTAAATACAACTTCCATTTGGGGAATCATTTTACAATGCATTTATTCAGCTATCATACTTGTAGGAATTATAACAGAAACAACAACATCTGATGTTGTGTCATCAACATTGCCACCAATTTCCACCCAAGCAACATTTGAAACAACAGCTCAAACTAAATCTACTCAGAACATTATTACAACAGAAGAAACGGCCACTGAAGGAACTGATTATACCATGGTTTCTGGGACGGATCTTACTAAAACATCTGAACGTGCAACAAGTACATTTGAAAGTTCTACTTCAACTGATTTGCCTACAGGTACTTTCTCAACAGGTAAATAGGTCTTTTCATGTGGTAGTTTCTTTAAGGAATCAACACGTTTCACATAATAACAACAATCTGCACATTACATGTTACCAAGTACACAATTCAAGGTATATCGAAGGGAGTGCCTTGTAACTATAATTTATTTCCATATCTATCTGAATTCACTAATTGTTCTCTGTTCACATATTCTTATGTACTTTACTTTACTCTCGTGCTTTATAGACTAAATCTTTTTCAAATGTCTTCGCATTTGGGCAATTCTTTGAATTTTTGCAGAACATCATGTTAGAAAAAACGCTTTTTCCCACCTGATTTTGAGTACATTGTCACATGCACATTCAAGATAATCTTTACGCATTTCAACTAGATGCACCTTATTAATATTAGTCAATACAACTTCCATTTGGGGAATCATTTTACAATGCATTGATTCAACTCATCATACTTGTAGGATTTATAACAGAAACAACAACATCTGATGTTGTGTCATCAACATTACCACCAATTTCTACCCAAGAAACATTTGAAACAACAGCTCAAACTGGATTTACTCAGAACATTATTACAACAGAAGAAACGGCCACTGAAGGAACTGATTATACCTTGGTTTCTGGGACTGATCTAACTAAAACATCTGAAGATGCAACAACTACATTTGAAAGTTCTACTTCAACTGATTTGCCTACAGGTACTTTCTCAACAGGTAAATAGGTCTTTTCATGTAGTAGTTCCTTTAAGGAATCAACACGTTTCACAAAATAAAAACAATCTGCACATTACATGGTACCAAGTTCTCAATTCAAGGTATATCAAAGGGAGTGCCTTGTAACTATAATTCTTTTCCATATCTATCTGAATTCACTAATTGTTTTCTGCATTCAGTTCACATATTCTTATGTACTTTACTTTACCCTGGTGCTTTATAGCCTAAATCTTTTTCAAATGTCTTCGCAATTGGACAATCCTTTTCATTTTTCCAGAACATCATGTTAGAAAAAACGCTTTTTCCCACCTGACTTTGAGTACATTGTCACATGCACATTCAAGATAATCTTTACGCATTTCAACTAGATGCACCTTATTAATATTAGTAAATACAACTTCCATTTGGGGAATCATTTTACAATGCATTGATTCAACTCATCATACTTGTAGGATTTATAACAGAAACAAGAACATCTGATGTTGTGTCATCAACATTACCACCAATTTCTACCCAAGAAACATTTGAAACAACAGCTCAAACTAAATCTACTCAGAACATTATTACAACAGAAGAAACGGCCACTGAAGGAACTGATTATACCTTGGTTTCTGGGACTGATCTTACTAAAACATCTGAACGTGCAACAACTACATTTGAAAGTTCTACTTCAACTGATATGCCTACAGGTACTTTCTCAACAGGTAAATAGGTCTTTTCATGTAGTAGTTCCTTTAAGGAATCAACACGTTTCACAAAATAAAAACAATCTGCACATTACATGGTACCAAGTACACAATTCAAGGTATTTCAAAGGGAGTGCCTTGTAACTATAATTCTTTTCCATATCTATCTGAATTCACTAATTGTTCTCTGCATTCAGTTCACATATTCTTATGTACTTTATTTTACACTGGTGCTTTATAGCCTAAACCTTTTTCAAATGTCTTCGCAATTGGACAATTCTTTGAATTTTTCCAGAACATCATGTTAAAAAAAACGCTTTTTCCCACCTGACTTTGAGTACATTGTCACATGCACATTGAAGATGCACCTTAGTATTATTAGTAAATACAACTTCCATTTGGGGAATCATTTTACAATGCATTGATTCAACTCATCATACTTGTAGGATTTATAACAGAAACAACAACTTCTGATGTTGTGTCATCAACATTACCACCAATTTCCACCCGAGAAACATTTGAAACAACAGCTCAAACTGAATCTACTCAGAACATTATTACAACAGAAGAAACGGCCACTGAAGAAACTGATTATACCTTGGTTTCTGGTACTGATCTAACTAAAACATCTGAACGTGCAACAACTACATTTGAAAGTTCTACTTCAACTGATTTGCCTACAGGTACTTTCTCAACGGGTAAATAGGTCTTTTCATGTAGTAGTTCCTTTAAGGTATCAACACGTTTCATATAACAACAACAATCTGCACATTACATGGTACCAAGTTCTAAATTCAAGGTATATCAAAGGGAGTGCCTTGTAACTATAATTCTTTTCCATATCTGTCTGAATTCACTAATTGTTTTCTGCATTCAGTTCACATAATGTTATGTACTTTATTTTACCCTGGTGCTTTATAGCCTAAATCTTTTTCAAATGTCTTCGCAATTGGACAATTCTGTTCATTTTACCAGAACATCATGTTAGAAAAAACGCTTTTTCCCACCTGACTTTGAGTACATTGTCACATGCACATTCAAGATAATCTTTATGCATTTCAACTAGATGCACCTTATTAATATTAGTAAATACAACTTTCCATTTGGGGAATCATTTTACAATGCATTGATTCAACTCATCATACTTGTAGGATTTATAACGGAAACAAGAACATCTGATGTTGTGTCATCAACATTACCACCAATTTCTACCAAGAAACATTTGAAACAACAGCTCAAACTAAATCTACTCAGAACATTATTACAACAGAAGAAACGGCCACTGAAGGAACTGATTATACCTTGGTTTCTGGGACTGATCTTACTAAAACATCTGAACGTGCAACAACTACATTTGAAAGTTCTACTTCAACTGATTTGCCTACAGGTACTTTCTCGACAGGTAAATAGGTCTTCTCATGTGGTAGTTTCTTTGGTTTGAACATGTTTTACATAATAACAACATACTGGACATTACATGGTACCAAGTTCTCAATTCATGTTAGAAAAAACGCTTTTTCCCACCTGACTTTGAGTACATTGTCACATGCACATTCAAGATAATCTTTATGCAATTCAACTAAATGCACCTTAGTGTTATTAGTAAATACAACTTCCATTTGGGGAATCATTTTACAATGCATTGATTCTACTCATCATACTTGTAGGATTTATAACAGAAACAACAACTTCTGATGTTGTGTCATCAACATTACCACCTATTTCCACCCGAGAAACATTTGAAACAACAGCTCAAATTGAATCTACTCAAAACATTATTACAACAGAAGAAACGGCCACTGAAGAAACTGATTATACCTTGGTTTCTGGTACTGATCTAACTAAAACACCTGAACGTGCAACAACTACATTTGAAAGTTCTACTTCAACTGATTTGCCTACAGGTACTTTCTCAACAGGTAAATAGGTCTTTTCATGTAGTAGTTCCTTTAAGGAATCAACACGTTTCACATAATAACATCAATCTGCACATTACATGGTACCAAGTTCTCAATTCAAGGTATATCAAAGGGAGTGCCTTGTAACTATAGTTCTTTTCCATTTTTATCTGAATTCACTAATTGTACTCTGCATTCAGTTCGCATATTCTTATGTACTTTATTTTACCCTGGTGCTTTATAGCCTAAATCTTTTTCAAATGTCGTCGCAATTGGACAATTCTTTTCATTTTTCCAGAACATCATGTTAGAAAAAACGCTTTTTCCCACCTGACTTTGAGTACATTGTCACATGCACATTTAAGATAATCTTTATGCAATTCAACTAGATGCACCTTAGTATTATTAGTAAATACAACCTCCATTTGGGGAATCATTTTACAATGCATTGATTCAACTCATCATACTTGTAGGATTTATAACAGAAACAACAACTTCTGATGTTGTGTCATCAACATTACCACCAATTTCCACCCGAGAAACATTTGAAACAACAGCTCAAACTGAATCTACTCAGAACATTATTACAACAGAAGAAACGGCCACTGAAGAAACTGATTATACCTTGGTTTCTGGTACTGATCTAACTAAAACATCTGAACGTGCAACAACTACATTTGAAAGTTCTACTTCAACTGATTTGCCTACAGGTACTTTCTCAACGGGTAAATAGGTCTTTTCATGTAGTAGTACCTTTAAGGTATCAACACGTTTCACATAACAACAACAATCTGCACATTACATGGTACCAAGTTCTAAATTCAAGGTATATCAAAGGGAGTGCCTTGTAACTATAATTCTTTTCCATATCTGTCTGAATTCACTAATTGTTTTCTGCATTCAGTTCACATAATGTTATGTACTTTATTTTACCCTGGTGCTTTATAGCCTAAATCTTTTTCAAATGTCTTCGCATTTGGACAATTCTTTGAATTTTTCCAGAACATCATGTTAGAAAAAACGCTTTTTCCCACCTGACTTAGAGTACATTGTCACATGCACATTCAAGATAATCTTTACGCATTTCAACTAGATGCACCTTATTAATATTAGTAAATACAACTTCCATTTGGGGCATCATTTTACAATGCATTGATTCAACTCATCATACTTGTAGGATTTATAACAGAAACAACAACATCTGATGTTGTGTCATCAACTTTACCACCAATATCTACCCAAGAAACATTTGAAACAACAGCTCAAACTAAATCTACTCAGAACATTATTACAACAGAAGAAACGGCCACTGAAGGAACTGATTATACCTTGGTTTCTGGGACAAATGTAACTAAAACATCTGAACGTGCAACAACTACATTTGAAGGTTCTACTTCAACTGATTTGCCTACAGGTACTTTCTCGACAGGTAAATAGGTCTTCTCATGTGGTAGTTTCTTTGGTTTGAACATGTTTTACATAATAACAACATACTGGACATTACATGGTACCAAGTTCTCAATTCATGTTAGAAAAAACGCTGTTTCCCACCTGACTTTGAGTACATTGTCACATGCACATTCAAGATAATCTTTACGCATTTCAACTAGATGCATCTTATTAATATTAGTAAATACAACTTCCATTTGGGGAATCATTTTACAATGCATTGATTCAACTCATCATACTTATAGGATTTATAACAGAAACAACAACATCTGATGTTGTGTCATCAACATTACCACCAATTTCTACCCAAGAAACATTTGAAACAACAGCTCAAACTGAATCTACTCAGAACATTATTACAACAGAAGAAACGGCCACTGAAGGAACTGATTATACCTTGGTTTCTGGGACTGATCTAACTAAAACATCTGAACGTGCAACAACTACATTTGAAAGTTCTACTTCAACTGATTTGCCTACAGGTACTTTCTCAACAGGTAAATAGGTCTTCTCATGTGGTAGTTTCTTTAGGTTTGAACATGTTTTACATAATAAAAACATACTGGACATTACATGGTACCAAGTTCTCAATTCAAGGTATATCAAAGGGAGTGCCTTGTAACTATAATTCTTTTCCATATCTATCTGAATTCACTAATTGTTTTCTGCATTCAGTTCACATATTCTTATGTACTTTACTTTACCCTGGTGCTTTATAGCCTAAATCATTATCAAATGTCTTCGCATTTGGACAATTCTTTGAATTTTTGCAGAACACCATGTTAGAAAAAACGCTTTTTCCCACCTGACTTTGAGTACATTGTCACATGCACATTTAAGATAATCTTGACGCATTTCAACTAGATGCACCTTATTAATATTAGTAAATACATCTTCTATTTGGGGAATCATTTTATAATGCATTGATTCAACTCATCATACTTGTAGGATTTATAATAAAAACAACAACATCTGATGTTGTGTCATCAACATTACCACCAATTTCTACCCAAGAAACATTTGAAACAACAGCTCAAACTAAATCTACTCAGAACATTATTACAACAGAAGAAACGGGCACTGAAGGAACTGATTATACCTTGGTTTCTGGGACTGATCTAACTAAAACATCTGAACGTGCAACAACTACATTTGAAGGTTCTACTTCAACTGATTTGCCTACAGGTACTTTCTCGACAGGTAAATAGGTCTTCTCATGTGGTAGTTTCTTTGGTTTGAACATGTTTTACATAATAACAACATACTGGACATTACATGGTACCAAGTTCTCAATTCATGTTAGAAAAAACGCTGTTTCCCACCTGACTTTGAGTACATTGTCACATGCACATTCAAGATAATCTTTACGCATTTCAACTAGATGCATCTTATTAATATTAGTAAATACAACTTCCATTTGGGGAATCATTTTACAATGCATTGATTCAACTCATCATACTTGTAGGATTTATAACAGAAACAACAACATCTGATGTTGTGTCATCAACATTACCACCAATTTCTACCCAAGAAACATTTGAAACAACAGCTCAAACTAAATCTACTCAGAACATTATTACAACAGAAGAAACAGCCACTGAAGGAACTGATTATACCTTGGTTTCTGGGACTGATCTAACTAAAATATCTGAACGTGCAACAACTACATTTGAAGGTTCTACTTCAACTGATTTGCCTACAGGTACTTTCTCAACAGGTAAATAGGTCTTTTCATGTAGTAGTTCCTTTAAGGAATCAACACGTTTCACATAATAACATCAATCTGCACATTACATGGTACCAAGTTCTCAATTCAAGGCATATCAAAGGGAGTGCCTTGTAACTATAATTCTTTTCCATATCTATCTGAATTCACTAATTGTTCTCTGCATTCAGTTCACATATTCTTATGTACTTTACTTTACTCTGGTGCTTTATAGCCTAAATCTTTTTCAAATTTCTTCACACTTGCACAATACTTTTCATATTTTCAGAATATCATGTTAGAAAAAAACACTTTTTCCCACCTGACTTTGAGTACATTGTCACATGCACATTCAAGATAATCTTTATGCAATTCAACTAGATGCACCTTATTATTATTAGTAAACACAACTTTCATTTGGGGAATCATTTTACAATGCATTGATTCAACTCATCATACTTGTAGGATTTATAACAGAAACAACAACATCTGATGTTGTGTCATCAACATTACCACCAATTTCTACACAAGAAACATTTGAAACAACAGTTCAAACTCAATCTACTCAGAACATTATTACAACAGAAGAAACGGCCACTGAAGGAACTGATTATACCTTGGTTTCTGGGACTGAACTAACTAAAACATCTGAACGTACAAGCACTACATTTGAAAGTTCTACTTCAACTGATTTGCCTACAGGTACTTTCTCAACAGGTAAATAGGTCTTTTCATGTGGTAGTTTCTTTAGGTTTGAACATGTTTTACATAATAACAACATACTGGACATTACATGGTACCTAGTTCTCAATTCAAGGTATATCAAAGGGAGTGCCTTGTAACTATAATTCTTTTCCATATCTATCTGTATTCACTAATTTTCTCTGCATTCAGTTCACATATTCTTATGTACTTTACTTTACTCTGGTGCTTTATAGCCTAAATCTTTTTCAAATGTCTTCGCAATTGGACAATTCTTTTCATTTTTCCAGAACATCATGTTAGAAAAAACGCTTTTTCCCACCTGACTTTGAGTACATTGTCACATGCACATTTAAGATAATCTTTATGCGATTCAACTAGATGCACCTTAGTATTATTATTAAATACAACTTCCATTTGGGGAATCATTTTACAATGCATTGATTCAACTCATCATACTTGTAGGATTTATAACAGAAACAACAACTTCTGATGTTGTGTCATCAACATTACCACCAATTTCCACCCAAGAAACATTTGAAACAACAGCTCAAACTGAATCTACTCAGAACATTATTACAACAGAAAAAACGGCCATTGATGGAACTGAGTTTACCTTGGTTTCTGGGACTGATCTAACTAAAACATCTGAACATGCAACAACTACATTTGAAAGTTCTACTTCAACTGATATGCCTACAGGTACTTTCTCAACAGGTAAATAGGTCTTTTCATGTGGTAGTTTCTTTAGGTTTGAACATGTTTTACATAATAACAACATACTGGACATTACATGGTACCTAGTTCTCAATTCAAGGTATATCAAAGGGAGTGCCTTGTAACTATAATTCTTTTCCATATCTATCTGTGTTCACTAATTGTTTTCTGCATTCAGTTCACATATTCTTATGTACTTTATTTTACCCTGGTGCTTTATAGCCTAAATCTTTTTCAAATGTCTTCGCAATTGAACAATTCTTTTCATTTTTCCAGAACATCATGTTAGAAAAAACGCTTTTTCCCACCTGACTTTGAGTACATTGTCACTTGCACATTTAAGATAATCTTTATGCAATTCAACTAGATGCACCTTAGTATTATTAGTAAATACAACTTCCATTAGGGGAATCATTTTACAATGCATTGATTCAACTCATCATACTTGTAGGATTTATAACAGAAACAACAACATCTGATGTTGTGTCATCAACATTACCACCAATTTCCACCCAAGAAACATTTGAAACAACAGCTCAAACTGAATCTACTCAGAACATTATTACAACAGAAGAAACGGCCACTGAAGGAACTGATTATACCTTGGTTTCTGGGACTGATCTAACTAAAACATCTGAACGTGCAACAACTACATTTGAAAGTTCTACAACTGATTTGCCTACAGGTACTTTCTCAACAGGTAAATAGGTCTTTTCATGTAGTAGTTCCTTTAAGGAATCAACACGTTTCACATAATAACAACAATCTGCACATTACATGCTACCAAGTACACAATTCAAGGTATTTCAAAGGGAGTGCCTTGTAACTATAATTCTTTTCCATATCTATCTGAATTCACTAATTGTTCTCTGCATTCAGTTCGCATATTCTTATGTACTTTACTTTACCCTGGTGCTTTATAGCCTAAATCTTTTTCAAATGTCTTCGCATTTGGACAATTCTTTGAATTTTTCCAGAACATCATGTTAGAAAAAACGCTTTTTCCCACCTGACTTTGAGTACATTGTCACATGCACATTCAAGATAATCTTTACGCATTTCAACTAGATGCACCTTATTAATATTAGTAAATACAACTTCCATTTGGGGAATCATTTTACAATGCATTGATTCAACTCATCATACTTGTAGGATTTATAACAGAAACAAGAACATCTGATGTTGTGTCATCAACATTACCACCAATTTCTACCCAAGAAACATTTGAAACAACAGCTCAAACTAAATCTACTCAGAACATTATTACAACAGAAGAAACGGCCACTGAAGGAACTGATTATACCTTGGTTTCTGGGACTGATCTAACTAAAACATCTGAACATGCAACAACTACATTTGAAGGTTCTACTTCAACTGATTTGCCTACAGGTACTTTCTCGACAGGTAAATAGGTCTTCTCATGTGGTAGTTTCTTTGGTTTGAACATGTTTTACATAATAACAACATACTGGACATTACATGGTACCAAGTTCTCAATTCATGTTAGAAAAAACGCTTTTTCCCACCTGACTTTGAGTACATTGTCACATGCACATTCAAGATAATCTTTACACATTTCAACTAGATGCATCTTATTAATATTAGTAAATACAACTTCCATTTGGGGAATCATTTTACAATGCATTTATTCAGCTATCATACTTGTAGGAATTATGACAGAAACAACAACATCTGATGTTGTGTCATCAACATTGCCACCAATTTCCACCCAAGCAACATTTGAAACAACAGCTCAAACTAAATCTACTCAGAACATTATTACAACAGAAGAAACGGCCACTGAAGGAACTGATTATACCATGGTTTCTGGGACGGATCTTACTAAAACATCTGAACGTGCAACAAGTACATTTGAAAGTTTTACTTCAACTGATTTGCCTACAGGTACTTTCTCAACAGGTAAATAGGTCTTTTCATGTGGTAGTTTCTTTAAGGAATCAACACGTTTCACATAATAACAACAATCTGCACATTACATGTTACCAAGTACACAATTCAAGGTATATCGAAGGGAGTGCCTTGTAACTGTATTTCTTTTCCATATCTATCTGAATTCACTAATTGTTTTCTGCATTCAGTTCACATATTCTTATGTACTTTACTTTACCCTGGTGCTTTATAGCCTAAATCTTTTTCAAATGTCTTCGCAATTGGACAATCCTTTTCATTTTTCCAGAACATCATGTAGAAAAAACGCTTTTTCCCACCTGACTTTGAGTACATTGTCACATGCACATTCAAGATAATCTTTACGCATTTCAACTAGATGCACCTTATTAATATTAGTAAATACAACTTCCATTTGGGGAATCATTTTACAATGCATTGATTCAACTCATCATACTTGTAGGATTTATAACGGAAACAAGAACATCTGATGTTGTGTCATCAACATTACCACCAATTTCTACCCAAGAAACATTTGAAACAACAGCTCAAACTAAATCTACTCAGAACATTATTACAACAGAAGAAACGGCCACTGAAGGAACTGATTATACCTTGGTTTCTGGGACTGATCTTACTAAAACATCTGAACGTGCAACAACTACATTTGAAAGTTCTACTTCAACTGATTTGCCTACAGGTACTTTCTCAACAGGTAAATTGGTCTTTTCATGTGGTAGTTTCTTTAAGGAATCAACACGTTTCACATAATAACAACAATCTGCACATTACATGGTACCAAGTACACAATTCAAGGTATATCGAAGGGAGTGCCTTGTAACTGTATTTCTTTTCCATATCTATCTGAATTCACTAATTGTTTTCTGCATTCAGTTCACATATTCTTATGTACTTTACTTTACCCTGGTGCTTTATAGCCTAAATCTTTTTCAAATGTCTTCGCAATTGGACAATCCTTTTCATTTTTCCAGAACATCATGTTAGAAAAAACGCTTTTTCCCACCTGACTTTGAGTACATTGTCACATGCACATTCAAGATAATCTTTACGCATTTCAACTAGATGCACCTTATTAATATTAGTAAATACAACTTCCATTTGGGGAATCATTTTACAATGCATTGATTTAACTCATCATACTTGTAGGATTTATAACAGAAACAAGAACATCTGATGTTGTGTCATCAACATTACCACCAATTTCTACCCAAGAAACATTTGAAACAACAGCTCAAACTAAATCTACTCATAACATTATTACAACAGAAGAAACGGCCACTGAAGGAACTGATTATACCTTGGTTTCTGGGACAGATCTAACTAAAACATCTGAAGAAGCAACAACTACATTTGAAAGTTCTACTTCAACTGATTTGCCTACAGGTACTTTCTCAACAGGTAAATAGGTCTTCTCATGTGGTAGTTTCTTTAGGTTTGAACATGTTTTACATAATAAAAACATACTGGACATTACATGGTACCAAGTTCTCAATTCAAGGTATATCAAAGGGAGTGCCTTGTAACTATAATTCTTTTCCATATCTATTTGAATTCACTAATTGTTCTCTGCATTCATTTCACGTATTCTTATGTACTTTACTTTACCCTGGTGCTTTATAGCCTAAATCATTATCAAATGTCTTCGCATTTGGACAATTCTTTGAATTTTTCCAGAACATCATGTTAGAAAAAACGCTTTTTCCCACCTGACTTTGAGTACATTGTCACATGCACATTTAAGATAATCTTGACGCATTTCAACTAGATGCACCTTATTAATATTAGTAAATACATCTTCTATTTGGAGAATCATTTTACAATGCATTGATTCAACTCATCATACTTGTAGGATTTATAACAGAAACAAGAACATCTGATGTTGTGTCATCAACATTACCACCAATTTCTACCCAAGAAACATTTGAAACAACAGCTCAAACTAAATCTACTCAGAACATTATTACAACAGAAGAAACGGCCACTGAAGGAACTGGTTATACCTTGGTTTCTGGGACTGATCTAACTAAAACATCTGAACATGCAACAACTACATTTGAAGGTTCTACTTCAACTGATTTGCCTACAGGTACTTTCTCGACAGGTAAATAGGTCTTCTCATGTGGTAGTTTCTTTGGTTTGAACATGTTTTACATAATAACAACATACTGGACATTACATGGTACCAAGTTCTCAATTCATGTTAGAAAAAACGCTTTTTCCCACCTGACTTTGAGTACATTGTCACATGCACATTCAAGATAATCTTTACGCATTTCAACTAGATGCATCTTATTAATATTAGTAAATACAACTTCCATTTGGGGAATCATTTTACAATGCATTTATTCAGCTATCATACTTGTAGGAATTATAACAGAAACAACAACATCTGATGTTGTGTCATCAACATTGCCACCAATTTCCACCCAAGCAACATTTGAAACAACAGCTCAAACTAAATCTACTCAGAACATTATTACAACAGAAGAAACGGCCACTGAAGGAACTGATTATACCATGGTTTCTGGGACGGATCTTACTAAAACATCTGAACGTGCAACAAGTACATTTGAAAGTTCTACTTCAACTGATTTGCCTACAGGTACTTTCTCAACAGGTAAATAGGTCTTTTCATGTGGTAGTTTCTTTAAGGAATCAACACGTTTCACATAATAACAACAATCTGCACATTACATGTTACCAAGTACACAATTCAAGGTATATCGAAGGGAGTGCCTTGTAACTGTATTTCTTTTCTATATCTATCTGAATTCACTAATTGTTTTCTGCATTCAGTTCACATATTCTTATGTACTTTACTTTACCCTGGTGCTTTATAGCCTAAATCTTTTTCAAATGTTTTCGCATTTGGACAATTCTTTTAATTTTTGCAGAACATCATGTTAGAAAAAACGCTTTTTCCCACCTGATTTTGAGTACATTGTCACATGCACATTCAAGATAATCTTTACGCATTTCAACTAGATGCACCTTATTAATATTAGTCAATACAACTTCCATTTGGGGAATCATTTTACAATGCATTGATTCAACTCATCATACTTGTAGGATTTATAACAGAAACAACAACATCTGATGTTGTGTCATCAACATTACCACCAATTTCTACCCAAGAAACATTTGAAACAACAGCTCAAACTGAATTTACTCAGAACATTATTACAACAGAAGAAACGGCCACTGAAGGAACTGATTATACATTGGTTTCTGGGACTGATCTAACTGAAACATCAGAACGTGCAACAACTACATTTGAAAGTTCTACTTCAACTGATTTGCCTACAGGTACTTTCTCAACAGGTAAATAGGTCTTTTCATGTAGTAGTTCCTTTAAGGAATCAACACGTTTCACATAATAAAAAACAATCTGCACATTACATGGTACCAAGTTCTAAATTTAAAGGAATATCAAAAGGGAGTGCCTTGTAACTATAATTTATTTTCCTATCTATCCTAATTCACTAATGTCTCTGCATCAGTCACATATCTTATGTACTTTATTTTACCCTGGTGCTTTATAGCTAAATCCTTTTCAAATGTCTTCGCAATTGGACAATTCTTTGAATTTTTCCAGAACATCATGTTAAAAAAAACGCTTTTTCCCACCTGACTTTGAGTACATTGTCACATGCACATTGAAGATGCACCTTAGTATTATTAGTAAATACAACTTCCATTTGGGGAATCATTTTACAATGCATTGATTCAACTCATCATACTTGTAGGATTTATAACAGAAACAACAACTTCTGATGTTGTGTCATCAACATTACCACCAATTTCCACCCGAGAAACATTTGAAACAACAGCTCAAACTGAATCTACTCAGAACATTATTACAACAGAAGAAACGGCCACTGAAGAAACTGATTATACCTTGGTTTCTGGTACTGATCTAACTAAAACATCTGAACGTGCAACAACTACATTTGAAAGTTCTACTTCAACTGATTTGCCTACAGGTACTTTCTCAACGGGTAAATAGGTCTTTTCATGTAGTAGTTCCTTTAAGGTATCAACACGTTTCACATAACAACAACAATCTGCACATTACATGGTACCAAGTTCTAAATTCAAGGTATATCAAAGGGAGTGCCTTGTAACTATAATTCTTTTCCATATCTATCTGAATTCACTAATTGTTTTCTGCATTCAGTTCACATATTCTTATGTACTTTACTTTACCCTGGTGCTTTATAGCCTAAATCTTTTTCAAATGTCTTCGCAATTGGACAATCCTTTTCATTTTTCCAGAACATCATGTTAGAAAAAACGCTTTTTCCCACCTGACTTTGAGTACATTGTCACATGCACATTCAAGATAATCTTTACGCATTTCAACTAGATGCACCTTATTAATATTAGTAAATACAACTTCCATTTGGGGAATCATTTTACAATGCATTGATTCAACTCATCATACTTGTAGGATTTATAACAGAAACAAGAACATCTGATGTTGTGTCATCAACATTACCACCAATTTCTACCCAAGAAACATTTGAAACAACAGCTCAAACTAAATCTACTCAGAACATTATTACAACAGAAGAAACGGCCACTGAAGGAACTGATTATACCTTGGTTTCTGGGACTGATCTAACTAAAACATCTGAACATGCAACAACTACATTTGAAGGTTCTACTTCAACTGATTTGCCTACAGGTACTTTCTCGACAGGTAAATAGGTCTTCTCATGTGGTAGTTTCTTTGGTTTGAACATGTTTTACATAATAACAACATACTGGACATTACATGGTACCAAGTTCTCAATTCATGTTAGAAAAAACGCTTTTTCCCACCTGACTTTGAGTACATTGTCACATGCACATTCAAGATAATCTTTACACATTTCAACTAGATGCATCTTATTAATATTAGTAAATACAACTTCCATTTGGGGAATCATTTTACAATGCATTTATTCAGCTATCATACTTGTAGGAATTATGACAGAAACAACAACATCTGATGTTGTGTCATCAACATTGCCACCAATTTCCACCCAAGCAACATTTGAAACACAGCTCAACTAAATCTACTCAGACATTATTACACAGAGAAACGGCCACTG